GTTATTTCTGGCCAAGGGCATCTGCAGTTTATCATTGTACAATGAAGTGTTCCTGCTTACAATTCCAGTAATTTGTGCCTGCTTCCATTTTAACCTATTTCATCTCCCCTGTCTGCTTTTCTGCCACACTGTCCACCCCCAAACAGTCAGACAGCAACTAATGGACACCGAGGTCATTCAGTCTTCATTGGGTTGATTTTGGGGTTTCCCCTGCCCTTTGCAGTTGTTTTCCAAAGGATTTATGTGTGTCTTTCCAAACCCAAGTCTCCTGATACCAAGGATGGGGACTCAGGTCTCAGGACTCGCTCTCAAGTTGGACTTAAGTGACTTGACTCAGTTTTTTTAATGACTCGGACCCAACTTGTGATTCAGAACCCACCCTCCCACACCACTTTTTTCTGGGAGGCAAAGCTTGTTTTTAACAGGGACTCGGACTTGGGACTTGGTATCAAAGACTCAGTCTTGGACCCAAAGACTTGCCAACATCCCGACATGTGTGAGTGGTCCTTGAGCAATGTCATCCGTGCTTTAACAACAGGAGGAAAAGGATTAAAAGACTATTTGCCATGGTTTTTGCAGGATTTCACCCATCTCTTAGTAAGATCAAGAAGGACCTTTACTTTTATGGATCCTATTGCTGTGGGTATACTGTAAATAAGATTCTAGACATGAAGTGGAGGGGTGGGCTTTTTTCATTATTCAGTTAATGGAAATGTAATTTTAAAATGTAATAAGATATATTTGGCAAAAATCGATCATTTTCAAAACTGAAACCTCTAGAGTTGAGCCTGTTGTAGCAATGCTGTATAATTAAACATACTTGTTTCTATTAAACAGCGCCTTCCAGAAGACTGCACAGGAGATAGTGGGAGGCATACCTAAGTATTTTTATTGACGTATTCTAAGCCAGATTTTGTAGAAACCATTTGTAGCATTTTTGTGTTCTAGATCTTTTGGTCAATAGCCCAAGGCTCTTCCTGACTCAGTTGTTCACTCTCACGCACAGGAAAGTTTAGAAGAAATCATGGCTGGTCTTATCTTACTGCCAGTAGAAGCCAGGCAGTGGGGTGAGGATTAAGATGATGATTCAGATGAGAGGTTGAAAGGCTTCTTGTTGGTTGGTTGTCCGCAGTTCCCAGGATTGTCCAGCCAGCATGGCCAACAACTTTTCCAAGTACCAGAATAGACACATGCTCCATGGGATTAACGTGTTAATCTTCTTTATTTAAGATCCCGTTTTTTAAAAAAAAAAACATATTCCTATTGTCATGAAGCAAACAAAAACTTCAGTTTAAAAAGTGCCAAGTAATTATGCCAGCAAGGAGGTGATGTCTCCAACTGTGACCTGAACCTCTAGGTAGCTTCAGCTGCACTGGCTTGTTTAAATTGCAATCTTGCAATATCTTGCAAAAATTAGTCAAAACCACTTGGCATCAAAGCAGGGTATTTCCAACATCAGATGTTCACCCAAGGGAATGGTCCAAGAGAAGGGGAGAGCCTGTGGAAATCCCATGCACGGTATGCCGCAGAGAAAGGGCAAAAGGATCTAATGTGCAATCACTTGAGAATTGTGAAATTAGGCCAACAAGGACAAGGAGTGAAACTATTAATAATCTCTAGAAATGGCTGGTACAAATACTGTGGGAATGCCTTTGCTACAAGAGAACCCAGTGTGAGACCAGCATAAACTTAATATGTTGAGGCTAAATCCACTAGAGCAGTGGTGCCCAACCTTGGGCCTCCAGATGTTCTTGAACTACAACTCCCAGAAGCCTTCACCACCACCTCTGCTGGATAGGATTTCTGGGAGTTGAAGTCCAAGAACATCTGGAGGCCCAAGGTTGGGGACCACTGCACTAGAGCAGTGGTGCCCAACCTTGGGGCCTCAAATGTTGTTGGATTTGAGCTATCCAGCACAGCTAACAGTGAAGAAGGTTTCTGGGAGTTTTAGTCCAAGAACATCTGGGGACTCAAGGTTGGGAATTGCTGTATCAGACCTAGATGAACCTGAACTAAATCATCCATCTTTTCCTAAGCTGGAGTTTGGTATTCAAACTGTCATTGTGTTGCAGTGATTAAGGAACTGTACTGGGAGTTGGGAGATGTGATCTCAGCCTGATCTATATCTTCCAGGGTGAGGATAAAAGTGGAGAGAAAGAACGTTTTGTGTGTCATTTGATGCTCATGGGAAGGGAACTGGAATGGAATTGTGAGCTGACAATGCATTAACAAAGGTCCAGAATGTAGTAGAGAATGGTATAAATGGATCCCCTCCTTTTTTTTCTCACTCAGCAAAAACTTTAATAATTTTTGGCAACAGATATTCAGGACACTTCCTTCTCTTTTCTTCATTAGATCATGTGCATGTCTCACGTAGCTTTCATTTTCTTAGCTGTTGACTTGGCTTTAGTAAAACCCTCGGCACTGAATGACATCCATTTACCGCAAAGCAGCAGTTTACAGAGCATGGTATCTGCAGTGTAAATGGCCTGTCTGTTTATTAGAGCAGGGTCAGTATGATCAGTAGAATGAATGTTCAAAGACTTCCTTCTGTATAGGCTGTAGCAGGACTGTCACCCCTGTGTATTTGAAAACTGGGAGATGCATGGCAATTATTTTTCTATAGGGGTTTTTAAGATCCAGATGTTTTAAGAAATACTTGGTAGCGTTCCCACCTCTTTGAAGCTTATGACCAAATTCTAATCAGAGCTTGATTGCAGCATTTGTAAGCACTATATACAAGGTAGCGTATTGTGAAACAGTATTGCAAGCAGCGAACTTTGCTCCAGATAGCTTTATCTTTGGTGCCCTGATGTTTACCCACTGTGAAATGTAACGGTCTTCTTTTATGCAAACACATTGAAATGTAGGCATCATTACATTTATTTTCATGCTTGTTGACTTCATATGTTAGGAGATTGTTTTCGGAAGCTGCTTCTAAAATGACAGGATTATCAATTTTTAATGAATTGTTTTAAGAGAACAGCAATCCATTATTTGGTGTTTAGCAGTGTATTTCATAAAAAGGTTTTGGGGTTAGGGTTAGGGAATCAGCTGGTGAATATCAGGAGTTCCATTAATAGTAATTATGTGCCATCAAGTCAGTTCTGACTAGTGGTGACCCTTTCCAGGATTTTCATGGTAGAGAGTACTGTACTCAGAAGTGGTTTACCATCTCCCTTTTTTGGCAGAGATTCTGGGACTGTGTAGCTTGCCCAAGGCCACACAAGCTGGCTCTACTTCCAGGAGGTGCAGTGATAAGAACTAGAGATGGGGTATTCCTATACGAATACGAATATCCCCACACATGTGGCCGGACGGTCCACTCACCAATCCGTTGCTGCTGCAGACACCACCATTCTTCCAGTGATTCTGCAGATCGAGCCACTTTTCGACTTTGCAGCGAGGCTTAGCCTCCTTCCAGGAGTGGCTAGCCGATAGATTATGTGCCATCAAGTCAGTTCTGACTAGTGGTGACCCTTTCCAGGATTTTCATGGTAGAGAGTACTGTACTCAGAAGTGGTTTACCATCTCCCTTTTTTGGCAGAGATTCTGGGACTGTGTAGCTTGCCCAAGGCCACACAAGCTGGCTCTACTTCCAGGAGGTGCAGTGATAAGAACTAGAGATGGGGTATTCCTATACGAATACGAATATCCCCGCACATGTGGCCGGACGGTCCACTCACCAATCCGTTGCTGCTGCAGACACCACCATTCTTCCAGTGGTTCTGCAGATCGAGCCACTTTTCGACTTTGCAGCGAGGCTTAGCCTCCTTCCAGGAGTGGCTAGCCGATGGCAATCTGCAGAGCCATTGGAAGAATTGTGGTGTCTGCAGCAGCAGTGGGTTGGTGAGTGGACCATCGTTATTGCCACATGTGCGGGAATATTCATATTTGCATATGAATACCCCCATCTCTAATAAGAACTGCTGGAGAACTTAGAAGAACTGATGAATAGCTTAATGGTTTAGGCATCTGGCTGGGGTACCAGAGGTTGGGGCTTTGATTCTCCACTGTGTCTCCTTGACAAAGGCTGGACTTGATGAGCCATAGGATCCCTTCTAGCTCTGCAGTTCTAAGATGATGATAATGATGGATTGAACTTTCAGCCTCTTACTTCGCAGCCAGATGCCTAAACCACTGAGCTATTTAGCAAGTTGTAACCTGCTTGAAAGTACAGCCCCTTGTCAGGCTTTTTGTTTGGAGTAAATAATCTTTATAATTGTAAATTGACATGTCTGCTGTATTTAATCCTCATAGAATTCCAGGCTACAATTAGAAAGATCTCTCAGGACCTCACCAGTTTAAAAGCAAAACATGTGAAAATTGCAAGCACATTCTCTTTTTTTATGTTTTGTTATTGGTGGCCTGGAAGATGCCACATTCTCTTTTTTTATGTTTTGTTATTGGTAGCCTGGAAGATGCCACATCCCTTTGAAAGAAATAAAAGCTTACATCCACTTGTTAGTCCCAAAAAAGATCTCTTGAATCAATGGGACTTTGCTAATTCACCACTTCTGTGAGTTCCAGTGATTCACTGGGTTACCCTAGTTGGGACTAATAGCCTGCAGCAGTTGCTTAGAGGAAAGATACCAAAATAGGCCTTTGGTTCTAGACAACTTTCATTTATCTTAACTTTTTTTTCACCTCTTAGTTGACTGACTCATCATTTTCAGAGGTTTCAATTTGATCAAACAACATCAGCTGTTTTCAAATACTACTTTTTTATTTGGAATACTGCACACTCACTTGTCTCCAGAGAGTACAAAGGGCCCTCTATATCAGATGATTAAGATTATTCCAAACCTTATTTTAAAAATGTGAGGGGTTGAGAAGCTTGGCAGAGCTGAGAGACTTGAAGTGATCATAAAAGTGGTATTGGCAACTGCGGTCCGTTGATCTGATGTTGGCTACATCTGCTTTAACGGCTGAGAACTTTTGTTGGAAGGTGCTGTACAATCTTAATCAGTGAAATAAGTGACCCTGTCTTGTGCTTACAGTGGCATCGAGACTTTCCAACCATGAGTAATCCTTTTTCACATCTTGAGGAGCCGCTGGACCCCAGCCAGCCAACTAAAAAATTCTTCAATTTGAGACGTTTGGAAGACCCACGATACGGTAGGTTGACTGTGTTGAAAGAGAATTGTTCTGCATAGAGACCTACTTGTCAGCTGTGGGTTTAGGATGTATTCTCATCTACCTGTGTATCATCAGATTATGAAACATGTTGTGGGTGGAATCCTCTTTGGTCCTTCCTTTCATGCAACAGTCCATTGCATGAGTAGTTGAACCATCTCTGAGCTTGTAACAGGAGATATTACAAGGAGATATATCTCCTTGTGTAAGCTTGAAAGCTGTGCAACTGTTTGTGCAACAGTGGTGGAAAGAACAAATGGGATTCTGCTGTACGACCCTCAAAGTGGCTTCATGCTTCATTGTAGCCATACATGTCCAATTCAAGTTGGTGGTATCTCAAACTAGCAAGAGGCCTGGTAGTATCGCTGGGCTTAAAGAATCCCCTATTGTTCAGAGGACTGCTACAGTCTGCCTTGTATAAGGCAGCTGTTTCCAGTTGCACGTGTATGTTGCAATTAATACAGCTTTGAAAAAAACTGACCTCTGATTTTAGAAGCTGAGCTGTTTGAACCTGGTTAGTACTTGTATGGATATGATACAGTCTCCAAGTAGGGCTGGGAAAGAGTCCCACCTGCTTGAATGTCTGGAGAGCTGTTAGTATGGAACTAAATGAGATGGAACAATTGTCTCTTTTAATATAACACAACTTCTTCTGTGTTGATGAAGCTGCCTTGATATTTTTTATACCATGCTATGCGTATAATGTGGCAGAGAGTCCCCAGATATGCAATAATTAGTCTGTGATGGATTGTGAACTCATGGCTCCTTAGGCATCATGTGTCCCTTCCTGGTTCCCCACCTTACCTTTTTACAAGGAAAGCTTTGAGTTACTGTGAGAACACGGCTCCCTGTCCCAAGAATTAGGGCCAAACTGTACATTACAGAAAGCCCATCGTTAGAGTTTGAAATCCATTAATGTTCCAGAAAACTGTTGCTGGCGTGCTTTTGTCAGTCATATTTTGTCAATCACTTTTGCTGAGGTGCAGACGACCGATCACAAGACAAAACAAGCTGATTAGCAAATTGCAGTTATTCTCACATTATATGTACTGTATAGTTTGTTTGTTTTTAAACTGTGTATAGGTTTGGCTTCCATGAGCTGCCAGTACAGAAATTCCTTATTTAATGCAGCCCAACTGTCCAACAACCTTGGCTGAATTCTGGCAGTGTGGGGGGGAAATACTTTCTTCACCAATTTCCTGCATTGTTGTTGCCCCCCTCCCCTTTTCTAGGACGGTTACCATTTTCCATCAGAGTGCTGCTGGAGGCTGCTGTTCGCAATTGCGATGAGTTCCTGGTGAAGAAGAATGATGTTGAAAATATCCTCAACTGGGATGTAACACAGCACAAGAACATTGAAGTGCCATTCAGACCTGCCCGAGTTATTCTGCAAGACCTGACGTGAGCTTTATACGTTTATTTGCTTTATTTTCTTTCAGTCCATGACAGTGGTTCCAAATCTTGGGTTCCCCAGTGTTCTGGGGAATTCCCAGAAGCCTTCACCACCAAAACCACCAGCTGTGCTGTCCAGGATTTCTGGGAGATGTAGGCCATGAACATCTGGGGACCCAAGGTTGGGAACCACTGATCTCAGGTATTATATTTTTCCTTCTAAGTGAGGAGACACTCCTAGCATTACTAATCAAAAGGCACTGTGTATCATTCCCTCTTTTCCTCATTAATCATTTTGCTGTTGTAAGAAAAATGCTGGAAAAAGTATTTGGAAAATATGGGGAGCTTGCAAGTGGAACACAGGGTCATCTGGACCTTGTGTGAAATTTATGAAATGTGCAAAGTGACTGTAACATAAAAACTGTGCCTAGAAACAATTAGTGTCAAAGTAATTTTCTGCCAGGACTGAGATTTGTGGAGAATACAGTCATGCCCCGCTTAACAATTGCCCCGCATTACGAAGAATCCGCTTTATGACGATGTTTTTGCGATTGCAATTGTGATCGCAAAACGATGTTTTAAATGGGGGAATTTCGCTTTGCGATGATTGTTTCCCTGCTTCGAGAACCGATTTTGGCTTTACAACAATCAACAACAGCTGATTGTCGGGTTTTCACAATGGCCGCCGAGTGCGTAAAATGGCTCCCCGCTGTGCATAGGGATGGATTCCTTGCTATAAATGCTGGAAAAAGTATTTGGAAAATATGGGGAGCTTGCAAGTGGAACATAGGGTCATCTGGACCTTGTGCGAAATTTATGAACAGTGCAAAGTGACTGTAACGTAAAAACTGTGCCTAGAAGCAATTAGGGTCAAAGTAATTTTCTGCAAGGACTGAGGTTTGTGGAGAATACCTGGGTCTGTGTATAGCTTTGTTTTAGTTTGAGTGTATGAGGCACCGATGTTTTCGCTTAGCAGCGATTTTCCTGGAACGGATTATTGTCATTAAGTGAGGCACCACTGTACCTGGGTCTGCGTATGGCTTTGTTTTAGTTTGAGTGTTACAAATGAGGCACCCGTCTACTTGCTCCTCAAAGAACACTCAGCCTGGGCTGTGTTACAGCTCCAGTGGTGCACCCTGAGAGTGTCCTGTGGTTGCTATTTAGGTATGTGCGTTGTGCCCTTGGACCAGTTCTCTTCAGCTTGTGGATTTTGTTTTAATATTAGTCCGGATCTCAGTCAGTTCTGGATCACGGTGTCAGCACTACTAACATTTTGAACTAGGAAAGTCAGCAAAAACTTGTGGACCTCAGGATTTCAGAAAATCTTTATTTTACTTGTATCCATTTTCCAAGTATAGTACTTACTGCCCCTAATGAGCTATCCACATTCATTGTACAGTATTTCTGATATCTCAGTGACCTTGATATGTGTGCTTCTAACATTTTTTGCTATTGCTTTATGAGACATCCATGAATGAAATAAATTCCCTAGATAACATGCAGTCTTTAAAAACCAAACCCCTCGGACAAGTACAGGCAATTTAAAAAAAATTAAGACACCAAACATCAGCAGAGAACAGCAATACCACCAGAGTTTCTTATGAAGCAAATACAGTACAAAGAGCTAAAAGCAGTTTTTAAAAATACAGGAGTTAATACTGCCAGAATATCATGGAGATTAAAGTAATCCCTTAAAAAAAAAAGGCTGGGAGAACAAAAACCTGGTACTGAAAGGAATACAAGTTGGTCTTATGTAAGCTTCACTGGGAATACTGTTACGCAATGGGGGGAGGGGGAGATACCTTCTAGAGCAGTGGTTCTCAAACTTGGGTCCTCAGATGTTCTTGAACTGCGACTCCCAGAAATCCTGGCCAGCACAGCAAGTGGTGAAGGCTTCTGGGAACTGCAGTCCATTAACAACTGGGGACCCTAGTTTGAGAACCACTGTTCTAGAGGGTCTTCCTGGCTACTCTCTAAATTTGAGTAGGAGGAAGCCCAGAGATGAGGGCTTATGTAGATAACTTTAGATTTATTATATTCTTAAAGTACTGATATTTGGTTGTTGTGGGTTTTTCGGGCTCTTGGCCGTGCTCTGAAGGTAGTTCTTCGTAACGTTTCGCCAGTCTCTGTGGCCGGCTGTGAAAGCCTTCGTGAGTACTAATATTTATTTATGCATTTAAAATATTTATACCCCGCCTTTCTCCTTGGTAAGGGCCCAAGGCGGTTTACAAACAATGAAAGACAAGTATTTAAAGTTGAAATTTGTGGGTTTTTCGGGCTCTTGGCCGTGCTCTGAAGGTAGTTCTTCGTAACGTTTCGCCAGTCTCTGTGGCCGGCTGTGAAAGCCTTCGTGAGTACTAATATTTATTTATGCATTTAAAATATTTATACCCCGCCTTTCTCCTTGGTAAGGACCCAAGGCGGTTTACAAACAATGAAAGATAAGTATTTAAAGTTGAAAACAGGGGGTATACAACTGTGGTTAACATCGTTAAAAGACTATTAAAAACTACAAACAATGAATAAGGAGGCATCCTACAAGATTAACAGGCAATATTAAGGCACTGATCATGAAGTATCCAAAGAAATCTTACTCTTAGAAATGGAAAACACAAAAATGGAAAACACACTTAGTACTGAAAATTTTGTCAAAGCAATAATGCATAACAATCCATCTAAAAACCACACACAGGTAGCTGGATTACTGAGGGAAGGCTTGCCTGAAGAGGAAGGCCTTTGCCTGATTGTGGAAGGAGAGCAAAGATGGGGCCAGCCTGGCCTTTTATGTGTTTTGCAGTTAATGACACTGCACACCACAACATCTTAGCAGGGCTGAGCATTGCCTCTTTGAAAGTGCAGAGCTGGAAAGGACCCTCTCAAGTCCAGACCCTGCCAGGGAGGCCCAGTGGGGAAACGAACTCACAGCCTCTGGCTCTGCGGCCGGAGACCGAAACCACTAGCTCCCCAGCAAGCCCACATGTTTCTGTAGTTTTATTCACACACCTCCTCTCTACATACCTGTAAAACAGTGTTTATTAAACAAACAATGCCTCATGAACCATTTTAACGTAGCTGACTCTAGCCTATAAACAAACAATGCCTCATGAACCATTTTAATGTAGCTGACTCTAGCCTATCATACATAAATACATACATATAAACTTTATTGTTACTGGCCATAGACCTTTACAATGTACTGACTACTGTAGCATATAAAATCCAATTAAAACAGGTAATTACATCAAAACCAATAAAACCCGGTCTAAGAATATTGTCATAACGTAAAATGTCAGTCCACTGTATTCAGCATTTATGTGGCATTATGATCCCTGACAACTCGAAGCCTCATCTTCTTAGCTGCTAGTGCAAATTGTGCTACAGCATATGTAATGGGCAACTGTGCATCAGCAAGCAATCCTACTACTGTTTCAGTGGTGCTACAGTTAAAATACATCTGAATGATGGGTGACAGAAATCTTTCTCTAGGATTTTTATAGAGAGGACAGAACAATAGATAATGAGTTAGATCCTCAATCTAACTTATTATGGACTCTAGCCTATCACTCAAGAACTAACCAGTTCAAATACTGCAGTCCTAGTAAAAGCATGTAACACAAGATAAAACTGATTTTAAAAATGGAGCAACTGATATGTAATTCTTTAGGGATAGAAATAAAAGTTATGATAAACTAATGGGCTGTTTTCCAAAATGGGATCTCTGTGTCTAGTTCCATTGCACATCTGTAATGCAATAAAGTTAATGATCTGGTTTTCATAACATCATATAACAATCATGGGTTTCCCTTCTACTCTTGCACATTATTGTCTGGTGGTGCTTAGGGAATGCAAAATGTGATGGTGTCAGGGCATAGCTTAAATTTTACTACCGATTGCAGTGGTGGGAATGGAACAGAACATAACAGTGCCATCTTTCAGAATAGCCCTGTGCTTAATTTATTGTGTGATTGCACCACTTACAGATTACCTTTCAAGAGGTTAGAATAATTGTTTCAAGAGACTATTCTACACTCAGACCTATCCTCTATGTCAGATCTTGTGAAAAGCATTAAAATTCTGAACTCCTAAATAAAGCAGAAAAGAGGGGAAATTAGAACCTTTTTCGCTGGAGAAAATGTTTTTCTGGGGATTATCTATATCTGTCTGTCTGTCCGTCTTGCACAGGGGTCTCCAAACTTTCCAGCATGAGGGCCACATCATATATTTTACACATTTTTGAGGGCCGAAGGAACACATGGGCCAAAGGGAATGGACCTGACCCTGCAGTGTTCGCTGAGCCAGATAAAAAGGCAAGTCGGGCTGGATGTGGCCCACAAGGGAATGGACCTGAGCCTGCAGTGTTTGCTGGGCCAGATAAAAAGGCAAGTTGGCCTGGATGTGGCCCATGGGCTGAAATTTGGAAACCCCTGGTCTAGCAGAATGTTCCAGTTTCTGATATTACTTAACCTTATATTTAGGTTTATATATTGTTTTCATTTAGCAGATTTAGTATGTTAACCCATTAGGGAAGTGGATACTTTTTTTTTTTTTAGTGTGCTTACTTTAACATGTTTGAAGTAATTGGGAAATTCAGTGACTAGGGGGTAATTTTGAATAAATAAAATGCAAATCTGAATTTACAAGTCAACTCCATTGAATAGCAATCTATCCTTGAAAGAAGATTTGCACCATGTGAGACTGAGTTGGATAAACAGACCTTTGGGTTAAAAAGTAACCAGTTGCACTTCACTATATAGTATTTGAATCAGAAGTTTGCTGTCCTTTGAACTTCATTCATGGAGAATGGTAGCCAGTATTCCCAGTGCCAACATATTTGTAATGCTGATTTCCCATAACAGTCATACTTCCCAAGTAAGGATTAAATGAAGTTTGGAGGTCAACTGGGTTGTTTTGTTTGTTTTTCAGTTCTTTATACCTACAGTCCTCATATTAAGCAACAGTAGTTAGATCATATATTGTACTGTATTATATAAAAATATATTTCTCCTGTC